CCCTTTGGGGGGGGTGGGGTTTTTGGACCCCCCACAAAATATTCTGTTGGCCCACCTTTTTGATTCCCGCAACAAAAAAACCAAGGGAAAAAAAAAAAGGCGTGACCCTGGTTGCGGGCCTCAAAAAGTAATGAATTTTTTTTATAATGTGGTGGCCAAGGGAGGAAAGCCCAACCGGGAGGGTTTTGGGGGGGGGGGGGGGTACATGGAGTGGGGAAGGTGGGTGGGGGTATGTGGAGTGGGGCGGAACAAGACAGGAAACAACGTCACAGTATTTGCACTCGATCCCCCCTATCGTACGCGTACGTGGTGAGGCGGGCGCACGATGGTCATAGGGTTGACCAACAATGACCTACCTGCTGCCCGCTTGTGACCGGGCTGAGACCAGAGACAAACACGAAATAACCATGTGTCGCCGAACGGACTGCACGAGGTAGGGCACGTAGGAAAGACCATTCAACTTTGATATCCAAGTCCACCCGCTCCCTGAACAGAACAGCTTGAGCTGCTATAATAGACCGCTTGCCTGCACGAACATCAGGTAAGGGGAACAAACCACACCACTAGTGCACGCCACTTCAGGGGAGACATAAAAAACTCCACCACGCCACTCACACACGCAGTGGAGCCGTGGCGCAAGACTCGGCGGAGGAACCTTCCTTGAGAAGTCCTCGAGGCCCTGAAACGGATTCCCCGTCGCCCCCCCGGCCCCTCCCTCTCCCATTGGCACGTCTTCGTCCTCCTGGGGCGGGGTCACCGCCTGGTCGTACCCCAGCACCCCGACAAACTCGGCCGTGTCGTTGAGCTTGACCTGCCCCTCCCGGAAATCATACATCTTAATCACGCACGCGAGCCCATCAAGGTCGATCTCCTGCTCGTGATGGAAGGTGGAGTTTGGACGCTGTTCGTTTGATGCTGTCACGCTGCTGCTGTGTCCATCGGCGTTTGGTGTTCTCGCGCCTTCGCTGGAGGGACCGGCAGCCGCGCGCAGTGTTTTCGGCTTGGGGGCACTGTTTTTGTCGCCGGATGTGGCTTCGGCATCGCCGATTTCATCCTAGGAGAGAGAGAGCGAGTGAGAGAGATTGTGTGTGTGTGTGTGAGAGAGAGAGAGAGAGAGAGAGAATGAGATGAAGATTGAGAGACACAGACAGACAGACAGACAGACAGACAGACAGACACAGAGAGAGAGGAACCGAAGGATACTGAGAGGCAATCGAGAGTTGTATAGTGGTTCAGTTCAGGTACTCTTAGCACATACATCGCGGTGCTTGCCAATTCATGCAAGACGTTGGTGGGTTGGCTGAACCCCCCCCCCCCTCCCCGTCCCCCCCTGCCCCCCCCTCCCACCACTCCCAACACCCTCTTACTGCCCCACTCCCCTCCCAGACACGGACACCCTGCACGAAACAAGTCAACACCTGTGCAAACGTGGAAGCAACACAAGAAGGCCAACGCCGAGTTGGCCCCAACTCCAACCCACCGCCGTGCAGTCCATGGCGTCTCCTCCCCCACCCGCGTCTTCTTCTCGTTGGCGCTTCGGCAATCCTCCGGCAGAAGCAGCAGCAGCAGCAGCAGCGTCCCCCTGTTGCTGTTGCCCCTGGTTGGGTGGAATTGCCCACTGCGACTGGCCCGGGATGGGTACGCAGAATAGAGGCAACCTGCACGGACCACGTGCGTGCGTTGGTGCGGTAGGTGAAAACAGATTTCGGAGGTGTAGATATCGCAACTTAAAAGTGAAAGAGGTGGAAATATCTTGGAGTATGATCGGAATTAAACGCGGAGAAACTTGAATTGCGGTCTTTTTTTGCTGGCTGCAGCAGAGTATAGTAAGAATAAAGACTATCCGACGAGGGTAAGCTTAGGGTTTACGATGATGAGTCAAAAAGTAGGAGGGGGGCCGCGGAGGGGAACACGGAACGGGAGGTACGGCGGTGGTGAAAAAAGACGTGCGAGGGGTACGGATGTGTTTCAGAGGCTAGACGGGTTGTACTAACCGATCCATCGTCTTAGCGCCAGGCCCGTCGTACTCGTTCACGAAGCCTGGTCTTTGGGCTATGCTGTCGACGTACTTGACGTCCACCCTGTTGCGCTTGCCGGTGGCGGTCTCGAGCTCCTCGAACGACCCCACGAAATACTCCGGCTCGTACTGGTCCTGGACCATTCCGCGGTACCGTACCAGAGAGTTCGCCGCCAGCTTGCCCTGCATCGTTCGTGCCGTGCCGCACACCGCGTTGTTCGTCATCATGACATGGCATACTCTGAGTACGGCTTTAGTATTTGTTGAGTATTTTTGAAATACTTACCCAAGGAAATACTCGACGGATGCGTAAAATACTTATTCAACCTCCCGAGTGTTGATGAGTATTTTTGGAATACTTACTCAAACTGTTGAGTACACATAAGTATTTTTGAAATATTTCTCAAGGGTAAATACTCAAGGGTGAGTATTTACTCAAACAATACGTGAGTATGAGTACTTTACTTAACACACCCTTGGAATCTGTTTCGATGCTAACAATACCGCATACCGAGCTCTTGGCCTAGACCATGTCTAATTGACTCCTAAAATTCAATTATTGTATCTACCATTCTGTCACATATTTTTGACCTGCCAGAAGCAGAAAGGGTTTCTCGTGCGCCACCCACGGCTGCTGCTACAATGAACCCCAACTCTCGACCCATTTCGAATCATCTCACCCAACCCCAGTGTTGCACAGCTCTAGACTGCTACTGGAGACTCTACTTGATAGACATGCATGCGAGGACCCGTCCATAAAAAAGGCGGAAAGTCCTCGAGGGTGAACCCAAACTGGCCACAAAAGGCACAACACTCACTTTCAACTTGCCAGGTGGGGACGTGCTGCTGAGGGTTGGCGACATGGCTCGCTACATGATGCAACACTCACTGCTGTAGGGGGTGCTATTTAACGTCATGCATCGCTGATTTGAATTTTGTGAATTGAACGAAGCACCTCCAAAGGCGCGAACACAGCAAATAAAACAGTGACATGACACCTTCGTACTTTGGCTAGGGACTCTCGAGAGAGTATGGGGACCCTATCCAGGGCAGGGGAAGAACCCGAGCACAGAGCATGAGAGATGGTTGCACCCAGCAGAGCGCTCTCCCCGTCACTAGCGTCGGTGCTGCTGTTGCCGCTCGCTTTCAGCTCTCCCCTAAGCCGCGCGATGACATCCAGCGGCCTCGCAATCAGCTCGTCGACGTCCATGGTAGCCGCCACGAGCATGTATAGGTTAGCCGAGGTGGTTGACGATAGTGTGCCACGGCGGGAGCCGGAGGAGAAGCGCGCGTCCTTTCTTTCTCGCAGGATAAAATTTGAAATTGGAGGCTTTTCATTGGTCAAGAATGACGGTACGTTCCCAGAGTGCAGATCCTGCCTACCCTCGGATTCTCCCAAGCTGCGTGCCCCGTGCCATTCGTGTGGGCCCGCACCGCACTCCATTCCACTCTCTTCCCAACCAAGGGTGCCGTGGGAGAGAGCCGGCGGCTGCGCTCATGGCTCATTTTGAGGACTGTAAATTCTACCGGCAGCGTGCCTGTCTCAACGGTAAAGCCTTCGCAGAGCCAATCGAGATCTTGAACGAGTTGCGCCGCATATTTCGTCTTCGTCATCCCCCCCCCCTCGCCACTGCTTCACCACTGCTGTCTTGTACCTTCTACATAAATGTGTGTATCTATAGTTAGTGGTATACGACGTCGTCTCATTTATTTCGTCAGTCTACCGCAACTGCGGTTTTTACTTCAAGGCAATGGACCTTTACAGCAGTGCCAGTTGACGGCCTTGCTGCCTCCACGACGAACAGAGAGCTGCTGCTGCACAAGCGCTCTCCTTCCTAGCTGTCACTGCTGCACTGCTGATTATGTAGGTGGAACAGACTCGAGGCTTTCGCTGGGAGATGCTGACCAACAGATAAATGGCGGATGCGTTTTGTGTCTGGAACTGGATCGCTGCTGTGCAACTATCCGTAGCCGGCACCTCTGCACACCTTGCACTAAAGTGGAGAAGGAACAGCTGCAGCTATCGCCTCTGCGTGTGTGTAAGCAGAAAAATCTAGCCCTCCGAGAAAAGCAGTAAGCCCATGACGCTTGAACATAGAGGCGGAGTACAGACGCAATACGACACACGCACGACCACAAGCTTCGACTAATGCTTGATTCCATCATGACACGCTCGGTGGTTCCATGCTCCTATGTACCGACTATCACCTCACCGTACTCAATCCCACACATCCCAGGTGTTCACTGTGGGTTTCGACACAACGAGGCGTCCCGCCACACGGAGCGCTTGTGCAACAGATGGGCCGCAGGTTAGTGCCGAGGTTCCAAAGGGTGCCTCTCAGTAGGGGTCTCACAGCAGCTGTACTTAGGTGCCACACGTAACCCAAACTTCCTTTGCTCCCAAACTTCCCTTGCTCCCTTCTCCATTTCGTGGCGCACATGCGCAAATATGTGCGATCGTGCACCACACAACCAGTAGCATGTAAGTGCGATATGAATTCAACGGTTATGACCCTTTTTACGTACCAGCGACGTTTCATGGGTTATCCTAGTGCTGTGTATTCGAGAGTGCGTACCCTCCCCCCCTCTGACTCCACTCTTTTTTTCTACCCCGTGATCCGCCACCTCGCTGTCCACGCCTCGGGCAGGATACACGTGCGACGGCAGGTGCAACCTCCGGCACCCGTCCGCCACGGACATCGCCGCTCTGGCCGCCGCCCCACCGCCCGCCTCAGCAGCAACAGCAGCAGCAGTCGTCCGACCTTCTCTATCCAGGCAACAACCGCCAAACAATTCTCGGCCGTCAGCAGCAGCGGAAGCAGCAGCGGCAGCGGCAGCAGCAGCAGCAGCAGCAGCGGTCGTCCGATCGGCTCCTTCCAGGCAACAACCGCCAAAAAATTCGCGGCCGCCAGCAGCAGCTGCTGCTGCGGCAGCGGCGGCGGCGGCAGCGGCGGCGGCGGCAGCGGCCGCGGCTATCAAGGCCAGAGCTCCCCCTTGCCGGTTCTACGCCAGAGGGCTGTGCACCAAGGGCAAGGCGTGTCCCTTTTTCCACGCGCCCTCCGCCCAGCAAGCGCCAGCAGAGCGAACGGCTCCGGAGAGCAGCCGGCGGCCAGCCCCTACCACTCTTCGAGGTGCGGCGGCAGCGGCCCGAAAGGCTGCCGCTGCGTCCGGAGCGCGTGCCGCTTCGGGCGAGGAGTGGAGGCAGCAGAAGGGCGGAGCTGCGGGGAAGCGTGAAGCTGGCGGGACAGAACGTCCTAGGAAGACAGTGGTGAAGAATAGTGGTGGCGGCCTTGGTGTGTCGGTGGAAGCGGATCCTGCAGCGAAGAGGCGGGCGGCGGAGATACTCCAGAAGCACAGGTAGGTGTCTGATGTTTCGAGGAGTGTTGCTGTTTTCGTGGATGCAATAAACGTATCTCGCGTTCGGTTCCCCAGGACTGTTTCGCGACAGTTGGAAACGTTCGACGAGTCGTTCTGCTTGGCTTGACCACGCCTTTCGTGGTACAACAAACACCCTCGAGTAACTTCGAAACCTGCTTTTTAATTAATTTATTGATAGTAGCCAGAGTGGTTTCGGAAACATTATTTTTTATGGATAACCAAAGATACTGTGACGCAAATATGGCCGCACAACGGCTCCTTCTTTTCGCACCAAATTGGCATATCCCGTCCCTTATCCCAACTCTTCTCTTGGCAAGGCTGACTTCGAGTACACCGGCCAAGGAGGCGGGATCGCGAGGGGGGATGCACGTTAAGGGGGCAACTCGGACTCAACCCAGCGACAAGAAAATCTGCACAGATACCTCGGGACAGCGGCAGCCGCGGCCGCCAACTGGTCGTCATAGCGGCCACAGCTCTACGGCATTAGCATCACCACCAGAAGCAGCAGAGGCATTGTCGAAGGGCCGCACGATTCCGGCGGACAACAACGGCAAGAATACTGGGGCGAAAACAGGGAAAAGAGTAGGAGAGCAGGAAGAGGCAGCAGGAGCGGAGGAGGCCCCCGCTTGTGAGGGCGCAGTTTTGCACGCCCCCTCCCCCAAGAAGCAGGCGATTGAAGAAACACCCCCGACAACAGCACGGGCTGCAACGAAAGCGTTGGGAACATTGCAAAACACTGGAAGGGCAGAGGGGGCAACGCCAACGAGTCGCAAACCCGCGGATGAGCAGCAGCAGCAGCAGCAGCACGTTAGTGCTGGCAACGACGCCCCCGCCGTCCCAACATCATGTGCTACAACGGCCGCCGTCGTTGCCAACGACAAAGAGGAAATACTTCCTAGCCGAAGCGGCAGTGCTTAGGTCTGCGTGGAGGGCCGGATGGTCATTGGTGCTACAGCCACTGGCGGTGTTACTGACACGTTGGGGTGGTGGCGTTGACGATTAGCCTAGTGGCCGGGAAGAGGGCCTCCTAGCGCTACGCTAGCTAGGGGGGTGGATGTAGAGCGGACACCCGGCAGTGTTTGCCTCCACCGCCGCCGCCACGCGCGATACGTGCGTCTTGTTCCCTCGTAAGCGGCAGTCTCTCCTGAGGATGGGAAGGTTGAGTCAAGGGGTCACTGTGTTTTTCACCGGAGCAAATCATCCAAAGTCCGAGCGCTCAAAGTTTGGGAGCGTAGAGTTTAGAGGGTGTGCCGCAGTTTGAGAGCGTTCAATCAGACGTGTCGCGCCTGCGCTGGTGCAGACGGCGGGAGGAGCAATCCCAGGGGTTTCGATGAGTTGAGTGGTGATGTTTTGTCTGCACGGGGTGGTTGCTGTGGAAGTTGGTCTCTTCGTCGGCCGACGCCAACGGTCAATCAGAGAATCATCTTCAGCAGATGTTGAAGACATGTGACCCTTTGTGATGGTCATCTCCACCACAGCGGCGTTGTTTGGTATGCATCCTCCCGGTGATAGTCTTAGTTGCTGGTTTAGTGCCAACCCTTTCTGAGACCACCACCCGTGTTCGGGAGTGAGTATGCTTGATAGCCTTGAGAGAGGGCTGAGAATAGACGAACAGAGTGTTCGAGAGTACCTGCAGGGGAGACTTGTGTGCTGCATGGCGGAGGTGGTGCTTTGAGCCTCAATCCGGGAATCAGAAAAGAGGTAAGAGGGCCAACACCGTTTCGACGAACTTTGTTGCTACTTCTAAGTATCAGGATTAAATTCGTTAGTATCCACAGGTCGACCTAACGGTCGACAAGGGAGAGGGATGACTGAACCCTTGGTCGCGAAAAAAACTATCAGGCAAGCACCGTAGGACCTGGGACACTAAACAAAATAGAAAGTAGAAGAGCTCCTGTGTGTGAGTTTCCGGCCGTGTAACCCCGGCTAATTCGTGAAAAACTCACACACAAGGTGTGTTAGACTGGCGCCAGAGCACATGGATGGGTCGAACACAGTAACACATGGTGCGTTGTGAAGTGGTGCACTCGAGTAGTGACGCGTGTTGGTCTGTGCTTGTTCTGTGTCGGTGTCATCGGGAAAAGAAGGGCGATGGGATGTCGCAAGAATGTCGAATATGTTTCGGTCGAGGCCCCATGTTTCCTCGGATGCACTGGTCGGGTATGTTGGGCTTGGTCATGCGATTACCAACAACGCACGTCAACACTGGTTTTTTCTCAAGAGACGGAACCGAGGGAAAATATGTGTCGGGAAAAGAAGGAGAACGGCAACAGAAGCACATCTCTCTCGCGCGCAACAAGAAGTCTTCTTTGCTTTATTTATCTTAGGCGGAAGATCTTCGTCTTACGCGGAAGATGGTTCCTCAGGGTATAGCATTCTGCAAAACTTGGGTTTGAACAAGCGTGGGGGGGCTGAACAAAAAGCTCGAGCCACGCCTCTTGTGAAATACTCGGAGTGAGTGCTTAACATCGGGCAAGATATCCCTTGCCGTAAACATTACGCGGACTCTGGATCATCCGAAAGGCCACAAAGAGCGCGAGAGTACCCGCAGTGGCGTATGCACAATAATAAGAACACCTGTAGGAAAAAAAACATAAAAACAACCGCCCCCAAACTAGCCCACTTGGGTCTGCCCGACCCACTACATTTAGCCAGATAGCACCAAAGTACAAGAAAATCCAACTACAGTACGTAAAACCTTTCCACAACGCTCAGCAAGCCAACCCCTGCTCCGTGAGCCCAAACAAGGCAAAACAAAATACTAGGGCGTGTCCCGCGTCTTTTGAACTCGCCAACCCCATGTCCCAGCATCCACAACCTCACCCTTAACATCAATAAACAAAAGGCTGCTGGAAAGAAAGCCTCATGACCCATCCATTTCACCGAAAGACTCAAAGCGCGGACAGACCCATTCTCTCTCTGCTGCTGTTGCTACAGGCTCATGCTTGGTCTCGCAACGCCGCTCGAAACGAGCACAGACAATTACACACTCAAACAAATGCAGCCTCGGTAGCAACTCCAACGAGCTTAACAAAACCTAGTTTCCAATTTCACAAAAATAATCTTCGAAGAATAGATACTCAACACGGTGAAGTCTAAAGTCATCGCTCCAGACATGGAGTTTCGCCCCAACGTAGCACACCGCTTCTCTCTTCAGCACCTTGTGCTGAGCACACACGCAAGCACCTTGTGCTGAGCACAAACACAAGCACCTTGTGCTGAGCACACACGCATGCACCTTGTGCTGAACACACACACACACAGCCACCCAACGACAAAAATTAACAAGAGCTGGTGTTCCCAGGGTCCATAACTTTCCGATCCGGGTCCATGACCGGCCTTCCGCTGCGCCCGGCCGCTGCCGCCGCTGCCGCCTGCTGCTCCCAGTCCACCCGCTTCGCGCGCGCTCTAGCCCGCGACCGGCCCTCCTGGCTACCGGCGCCAACATCCGGCTCCGCTGCGGTAGCAGTGGAACTGGCCGTACGTTCGGCGTTGAACATGTCCCAGCAACCCTGGAGCTTCTGGAACTTTCGCTCGAGGAACTTGACTCGGAACTCGTTGTCCCCGGCGAGATCAGGGTGGCATCGTTTGATCTCCACCCGGTAGGCTGTGCGAAGCTGCCAAGCACAAGAGGAAACCAAACGTTTGTGGCCGGCGGTGCGCAAAGCGTGCAAGTGTGAGCGTGGGCATGCTTGGTTGTGTGCGGGCGGGTTTGGGCGAGATGTGCGACGTGTGGTGGAGGGATTGTGTGCACAAGAGATGTGTGTTTTCCCAATACGCCAAATAATACAAACGCCAATTTCTGACTCTTCCCCGTTTGGTAGGATGCGCGTGAAATACTCGCGTTTCTTAATTAGCATGCGCGCTAACAGGCTTATAAACTAAAAGACGTCAGTCTTGTAGAGGAATAAAAAATGTGTGTTTAAGGTGTGCTGAGGGCATTTTTCCAACCACTCCCCCGTGAACTTGTCTCTAAAGGTGAAGCCCGCACGGCATTAGGTTCCACCGCCGTTCCACCAGCAAATCTTGAGAGCGTAAAAAAAAGCCTGTATCTCATCAGGGCCACACAACCCGCCCCCCGGCATCACAGGCTACGGATGATGCCTTGCTTGTTCGGAGTGGAATGGTCAAGCCCAACATACCATCCCGGAACCCCGGAGATTTCGGGGTGGAACAAAGCCACAGTAAATATATTCGTGAACGTCCCACACACTTCCCCTGAAAAAAAAAGACAAAGACACGCAGAAAACGCAGGCGTTGCTCGAGACCTCGTCGTAAGTGGAACTCGCGGGCAGGCCCAGCTGCGTCGCCAGCTCAACCTTAACCGCACTCCCATCGCCGCCCCCAGCACCGCCAGCCGCGCTACGCTGGCGTCGCTCCACTTCACGCCGCCGTTTTACGCTCGCGAGAGAGTCCTTCTCCCTGAACGCGAAAAAATCGGCATCAAATGCGGCGTCCGTTCCTGTTGGTCGCTCTGCTTCCTTCAGGTCTCCGACGCCATCGAAGAAGGCCGCCGGTTGTTGGCTGGAGGTGAGACGCCGTTCTGGAGCCGGTGCTTGCGAGGAGCGGGTCCTACGTCGAGACGAGGACGGTTGGCCGCTGAGGCCCTTGTAGCCGCAAGCGTTCGTGTCGGGGTCGTTCAGGCTGCGGTGAAAGCGGCGGCAGGATTGGTTGGGCGGTAAGCACGATGCATGTAGCGAGAGTACCGCTGGTGTAGCTCACACCAGGAGGTAAACAAGTTGACAGGGGGGCGAAACTGCACGAGTCCTGGAGCAGGCAAGCCACGTACCGCGGTCATCATAGGGTGGCATGACCAGTGACTGGTGGTGACAATAGCCAACCCTAACAGTAGTCACACAGACGGCTTGTGTGCTGAGTAGTTGTACGCGTGCTAACGACGGACGGTAGTGTTCGGCGGCAAGCCGCCCACTTAACTCAAGACATGTGCGTTCACCAAAAGGTTAACTAGCCCCAACCCTCGCTTTCCCCGCCGAGCTGTGCGAGTATATATAAGGCAAGTGGCGAGATGCCAGCCTGGGCCCATACCGGACTACTGCTGTTCGAAATCAATCTCGTCCGATCGTCCTTTACAGATGTGTGTACCGAAACACCCCGCTACTGGGAACACCCCGCTCCCTGTGAATGACAGCTACAGGCGGTGCGGTCATCAGCCTATGAATGCATCTATCCCTGAACAGCGAACGCGCCACAGTTAGACCAAACAGCGAGAAGCATCGCCCGGTAAGAACCAAGCACAAAAAAAAAGCTGTCGGCCGTATACTACCTCTTGAACTCGAAGACAGAGTGCTTGCTCCAGATGTCATCCTCCTCCGGGGGTCTCCGCTTGGACGCGGGCATCGCGTACGACATCATCCTCTCCCTCATAGACCCGCCCTCGTCCTCTTCCTCTTCCGGGTCTGGATCTTCGCCGCTGCTACGAGAACCGTCTGGACCGCGTGGCTTGCGGAGGCCCATCAAGCGCGTTGAATCCCGGCGTCGTCGGCCGTAGCCCAACCGCGTGCTGCCGCCCCCGCTGCTGTTGGCCAAACATGCATGGACATTCTTGCTGCTGCTGCTGCTGCTGCTGCTGCTCCAGCTTGGACTCGTTGATAGCGGATTCGACCGCGATGGAGTGGACCATTCGTGGCAGGCGTAGTGCAGCGCCGTTGGCCGTAGTGGGCGGCGGGCACAGGCGTTATCATGATGCGACGGCGGCGCCAGCCTCGAGGCAAAGCAGCTCAGCAGGCAACATGCGAATGCTGCTGACGCCATCCTTACCCTTTCCAAAAAGAACCTCGGTGGCGGAGGATTGCTTTACTTGATCCCTGGTCAACCTTCGTCAAAAAGTCCGGGTCTCAGGTGGAGAAGTGCTAATGGGTGTGCGAAATCAGGTGGGATACTTACCGGGCGTGAATGTGTTCGGCGTCAAGCGTACCTGGTACAAGTACGAGTAGCACGCGCAGCGAAGGCTCCAAACTTGACCTCGGGCTCTTGCCTGGCTGCTGTGGGGGGACCGCGAATAGCCATATCCAGGTACTCAACTAGAACTCCATCGTACAGCTGACGAGCCCCTGTTGGTGACCGCTAGGCCGCGACAGCGAGCTCGGGAGCAGTGCTACATCCTTCTTATACAATAGCTTTAACTCTGTGGTGCTGCTCTCTTTCAGTCTCTGCCTCTCTGCAATTGCACAAAAAGAACTCCAGGGTGGGCAGCATGAAGAAGCAGTATCGCCGCCGGCGGGCCGACTCTGAATCCGCAGGCTCGGACGAAGAGGAGGAGGAGGAGGAGGGAGAGGAGGGAGAGGTGGTGCTGGAACATAAACCGTCCAAAAAGAGAGAGAGGACCTCAACGAGACGCCAGAGCCCAGACAGATCGCACCGCAGCGGTGGCGGCAGTGGACGGCGCAGTAGTAGTGGTGGCAGAACATCGGGCAGTAGAAAACGAGACGGAGACGATAGCAGTAGGAAGAGAAGAGACCGCGAGCGTGACCGAGGAGATGAAGACAGCAGGCACCGCCGCAGGGAGGAAGGTAGTAGAGGAGGAGGATCTGGTGGCATCAGCTACGGCAACTTGGCGGTAGGGGCAGCTGGAGGCAGAGGGTCTCTTGCAGTCGACAGGGATTGGCAGCGGGAGAGAGAAGTGGAGAGAGAAAGGGTGAGCAGCAGAAGGGACCCTCGAAGAGGGGCTGCTGCGGGCAGCAGGGATAGCGGCGTGAACTACGGAAAGGAAGCCGACACACGGGAGAGGGACCGGGCGCGAGACAGAGAGGAGCGGGAGAGGGAGAGGGGCCGGGAGAGGGAGCGGGAAAGGGAGAGAACCAAGGAGAGAGAGAGGGAACGAGAGAAGGACAGAGAAAGGGACAGGCTGCTGCAAGAGTTGGCCGGTGACTCGGACGAGAATCCGCCCAAGTCGAGCGGCCCAAAGGAAAAGACCGGCATCTTCTCCTACATCAAGAAGACAACGGCGGCCATCAATGGCAGCAACCCGGTCGCCGGCAGCGGTGGCCGTGACGACACCACGGCAGACGGGAGGGCAGCGGGGGCGGACGGGAGGGCTAAAGCGGCGGCGGCAAGGGCTGCTCGGCCGAACAGCGCGGCGCTGGTGAACATCCTTCGCAGCGACCGCCGCACGAATATCCGGATGGATCGCGAACAGTTCGACGGGGCGCAGACGCGGCTGAGGAAGCTCGCGCCAGAGGGAAACGATGTCTGCGATAACTTCAGGTTGGTGATGTTTCTACAGAGGCGTGTTTGTAACGCGCGCGCGTGTCGTTTGTAATCAGGAGTCTTCCCACTAGTTAGCAGGAAACGAGCGGGGGCCAGGAAAAAGTAACGATTGCACGCTTGCTTGCTCCCACGAGAGGAAGGACGGAGTCGCCGGGCCACACGAATCGTGGTTTGTCACCACTATCGCCGCTGCTGCATGCACGCAGCCAAATACAGGATCTGTGCATACTTTCGAAATGCTATTTATCGACCGATAGACCCTCTGTCAGCAACAGGTGACGTTTCTATTAGAAAGGCTTACCCCTTAGACTACTCAGTCAGCGCTGTCACGCGCGTGTCGTTTGTAACCTAAGTTAGGATCGAGTTAGCAGGAAACCTTCCCACTAGACTACTCAAACGTCAGCGCTGACTCTGACTGAGTAGTCTAAGGGGTAAGCCTTTCTAACAGAAACGTCACCTGTTGCTGACAGAGGGTCTATCGGTCGATAAATAGTACTTCGAACGTATGCACAGATCCTGTAGTTGGCTGCGTACATACAGCAGCAGCGATAGTGGTGACAAACCACGATTCGTGTGGCCCGGCGACTCCGTCCTTCCTCTCGTGGGAGCAAGCAAGCGTGCAATCGTTACTTTTTCCTGGCCCCCGCTCGTTTCCACTGCACTCCCCGTGTGCATGGCCTGCATATCTCGTCAAGCACGGGGTAATCGGGAGCAACTAAATAAAAAGGGATCCACCAGTTGTACCTCTCTTTTTGCGCCCGCCTCCACTCCCAATCGCTCCGCCGCCACTCCCCCTCCCCCCTCACAACACTTGTTTGCTTTGGTCCCGCCTCTCGATTCCCTGTTTTCTCGCTCGAACAGCACCGGCTGCCGGCCGGACAAGACCGGCAAGAAGGACCACCCGTTCGTTTGCACCCAGTGCCCGATGAGCTTCCCCATGGCCACGCAGCTCAGCGACCACTTGGAGCGAGCCCACGGCATCTTCAAGCACCCGTCGCTCATCACCCCGAACAAGACCCTGTCCGCGGGGCTCGCGGCAGAGACGTGAACCAATCCTTCTGTTTTCGGCTGAATTTTGAGTGGGTCGATTGAAGTAGTGCAGGTCTCTGGTTGGTCATGTTTTGGCATGTCAGCTCACAAGAAAGCTCGTCGTATTTTGTTTCGGTTGGGCGGGCGGGGATCAGTAAATTTTACGGCGCACGGGCCACGCAGGCTTAAAAAAATATTAGGCGGCCTGTGGGATGAAGAGATCAATGAAACTGACTTTTTGTATAAGGTAGCGGACAATTTCCGTTCACTCTTCCCTCCTACAGCACAGTTATCACAGCGTGTGAGTCGTGAAACGAACAAAGTGTTCAATTTGAAGGAAGGGACAAAACATGCTATGCATACCGCGTGGCTGCAATTGCAACCTATGAGAGCCATGATCGAAAGTGGTGTCGAATATGTTTTGCGGTGATTCATGTTTTCTCTCTCCCTTCCTGTTCCGTGGGATACTGGTGGTGTTTGCCGCTACCGCGTTTCAAGGAATATGTTTTGCTAGCAGGGGGATGGCGGCAAGTAGGTTGACCGCGTTGTGACGTTCACTCGGTAAGAGCGTCGGGTTGGCGTAGGTCGAATGCCATCAGCGCTATATCTCGGACGCACGCGCAAGGGAAGGAAAATAGTTCGGGCCATCACGCGGTAACTGCCGTGAAGTGGTAAAGACGTTAACTTACAGGGAACAAGGATGGGACCCGCACGTGTATTTGGCAGGTACTGCTGTAGTGTTGAGTGTCGTTGGAGCGGTCACAATCGTGCCCAGAAGGGGGCTTAGGCCGGCGCGGCGACTGCTGCACCATATACTTTGTGGAATTTCGGATGACGATACGGACGTTACGCCCGGAATCTCGAAATGCCCGAAGAACACATAGCGAAAACCCTTGAAACCGATAGCGATTATGCCAGGCTTGTTCCCCGACCACTTGCCTGTTGCCTCGAGGTTTAGTACTATCCGTCGAGCCGCTTACACGGTGGCCTAACAACGGGGGTGAGGCGGGGATGGTGCTGTTAAATGACGGCCGGGAGCCTTGATGATGGCTGGGTGCGTTGCTCGTTCCGTGGGTACTTGCGTTTGTGTATAAGTTGATGCGTTGGCTTCGGCAGTGTTCAAGTCGACACAAGAACACCCTTTGTGCCGAGAGCTACCTGCAACAGTTGCGTGCATGCTGTGTGTGAAATTTGGTGGAGAATGGTGTTTGTTCTGGGGGGGGCTTACAGACGCTGCGTTGGGGTAATAGCCAGTCAAGTCGGGATCACAAAGACGATGCACTCAATTTTGTTATTTTCTCAAAAGGTTGCGTGGACTATAAGCCGTCTAGTCTCTTAGTTGGAGCGGACGGCGAGGTTTCCTTCTTGTCCATGGGACTACACCTCCTCGTGTGCGGCACATTAACACAATCACACGAACACTGCACCTGGTAGCGGAAAGCCACGCTGGTCAGGTTCAGCTAAATACCATACCGCCTTTGCAGCGTATCATGAAGGTGCGATATTTGTCCACACAGATGGAGGGCACACAGCTCACTTCTCCCTCCTGCAGAACATGAGCTACCCTACTGTTGAACTGCCTCGGCGTTAACAAGCAGGCAGCGGAAAAGTTTGTAGGGCTACAGATGTGGCCTGGTTCTTAGGCACACGATGCGGAGAGTTGGGGCCAAGGACGGACGAGGCCGCTTCTTGTCGACCATTGGCAGTCAAGCAAAAATTGCGGGTACCCGTTAATCAAAGTTCCAGACCCCGGTTTACCGCCATGTCTCGTTCGATGGTATTTGCTCACTTTGCTACCAAGGCCAAGAGGGAACCAGACTAATCAAGTTGTTTGCGGCCCATGCAAACCCCAGCGTCAAGAGAAACGGGGGAACCGTCCTCTACAGACGTTGGGGAGATTGTACCCTTCATGAAGAGGATCGCCAGACACCGGCGTATAACAAAGCGGACACCAAAAGTCCAAGTGCAACAAGCTTTTACTACAAACACGCAAAGGGCTGTCCCTACAATCCTCTCCCTCCTGTCTCTCGACCCCCCCAAACCAAATATACGGATAGCGAACGTGTACATAAATCACAGGCAAGGACAACGCAACCACAAAGAATCGATGACGCTTGAAAAAAAAAAACGAAGCACAGGAGTTCGTGAGTTGCCGCATCAAGGGAAGCAGAGGCCAACGCGCACAAAATAATATCTATACTTGTACCCGGCAGGAGAAAGCGGGCGAGCCTCCCGTCTTTCCGGTCAAGAGAAACGCTTGTACTTTAACAAACCCAACGGCAAGTTCATTCTTGGCACATAGACTATGCCGGGTAACATTCTGTCGAGGCTAGCGCCAGTGCGACGTGCCTACCATTGTAGCGCTTTATTCCCATTGCAACCTGGGTGTTCCGCCGACAAGTGCACAGACAGCAGCAGCAACGCCGCATGGTTTCTTGACCAAGCAGAAAACTGCGTGCCACCTCTTGCCTTTCTCACTGCTACATATCGCCGGAAGTCTCTCCTCATCCAAGGTCTACGCGCACAAAAGCGAGATCCAAAGTACCAATATCCTCTGAAGGAAACACCAAGCCAGCTTCTAAAAACGCCAAAGGAGTCAGTCTTCTCAGGAACGACGCATGCACGCGTAACAGGCGGAAACAACACTGAACCAGCTGTGGGACTCTTCTTCCGTCCCAGCGCAGGGGGCGAGATCTCGCACAAAAAAAATCCTCGTGAAAGAAACAGAGTGTTTCACCTCTTTACACCACCACAGCTGGCTGAGCAAAAAATGCGCGTGCCTGGAGGAACACATCGGCTTGCCGCGTTCATTTCTTGGGGTCCGAGCGCATCTCCATTTGTTGGGGTCCGAGCGCCTCCACGCCTACGCAGCGAGGAATGGCCATGGCCGACGCTTGTCCGTCACGGTCGACAACGTGCTACCCATGCGTTGGAGACAGGGATAGGGCGACGTTCCTTGTCCACCTTTGTCAATAACCGAGTGACGAAGACAATAGCCACTGCTGTAACCCGTCTCCAACTCATCTCGATACCGCGGAGGTTCCGCACCGTAGTGTTGCCTTCTTTCACGAGGGTAGATACCATCGTTGTCATCGACGGGTCCCCCGTGCATACAAAAATGAATCCATGTGTACGAATCATCAAAATCTATTGAAAAGAACAAGCGCCTTCGAAACGCAGTCTCCCCTGCAGCCCAGGCCCCATCATCTCCTCCGCCGTCGTTGCACGCGCGCAGCAATGTCATCCGATCTTGAGCCGTTTCTTGGCACGCTCCCCGCAGAAGATGATGCCCCGCTACTACTGCTAGCACCCCCGCCTCCTTGCGCAACCTCCTTCTTCAGCGCTGCCTTGAAACGCTCGAAGCTTGACGCCACTGAGTCAACCTCCGCCTTCACCTTCTCCCCCGCCCCGCGCATGAGCTTCGCCGCCTCCCCGGGGTTATCCGCCACCTTCTTCTTCGTTTGCTCAACCTTGGTAGTTTTCAATGTTGGGATGGGCGGGGCGGGGAGGGGGTGGTTTGACATGGGTCAAGTTGCTCATATTTTCTTCTTTTACCTTCGAGAAGAGGAAGGGGGAGGGGGCGCAAGACTGGGCTTTTCCATGCTGAGAAGACAATGCTTTGTGGGAGGTTGGAGGGATCCTATCGCGAACCTCCTTGGTGAGCAATGGTAGGTTCAGTTCAGTACACGAGTTGGGCTCTGGCCGGCGTTGCTTCACATACAGCAGCGGTGTTGTGGGGAAGTGTAGGTACTTACCTATCAGGCTCCGTCCTCGGCCACACCACAAACTTAGGGCGAGCACCGCGCAGAAACAACGAAACAACGACTACGGGCCTCAAGGAAACGGCCTGGTATATCTCGGCTACATAAACCTTATTAGTGTCAGAGAATCGTCGATTTCCCCCCTATTTTTTCGATGGAGCTCGTATTCTGATGCATGTCGAATGCGCTTGAAAATGGATTAAGGGACAGCAGCAGTGCCGTACAACTGGGATTACCCCCCAAACTCGAAAGGTAAAAAGTAAAAAGAGACACCCTCCGTCGGGGGCTGTTGCGAAGGAACTCATGCGGGAAGCCCTGAAAAGCAACTATTATTATACTACGATTCAAACACATGTTTGCAGACGTTGATCGCGCCCGCGAATTGAATTCTCAAGTTCTCTATCTGATGCTGCCGCAGTAACGAAACCGCACTACTGCTGTCAACAGAAAACAAACGCTATCGGGTCTGGGAGTAAAGTACATGCGGGGTGCCTGCGAATGGCCACGATAATAGTCTAGACTACAAGTCTACAGCAGTTTACGTCTGCTGCTGCTAATTCTAGAATTCGGAGGTCGAATGCCTTTTTGGGGGAGTTACACTCCGCAACCTCTCAGACACACGCCAGAAAAAGGGATTTTTTCCTACTGCTGTGTGCGATGCAAACGCGGCCGCGGCGGCACGGCCGCCAGGTTATCCACAGGTGTCTACGTGGCGGGTCGCTGCCTGCGTTTCCCAACCAACTCACGGCGCGTCGCATGCTTGCTGACACAAACGTTGAGGGCGGTTTAAGGGCGCGGGGGGGATCGCAGTACCTCCTCTTCAAAAAAACAGGAAACGCCTGGAAACGCCTGCATATCTCGGTTTTCCAAAGTCTAACTCCAGTACGAAACTACCATCGTAAATTAACCGCCCGCAGCGGTCGCTTGTGTACAATGTTAGTAGCTGAGGTTGTACCCCTTGCGATACACTACAGACTAGCGGTCCGCGATTTTCCAAACGATCCTTCTATCATCGAGTTCGGTGAGCTACAAGCTAGATTTTTGAAGCTGCTGTGCGGTCCAATTTTGAAACGCTTCAAGCACACGGTGAACACGAATCACCGCCTATGTGAGTGTATGGGGCCGCGAACTTCAGCGCAGCTCTTCCCTCACATATCCAGCTGGTCGCCATTGTCGATTTGAATGCCTAGGGTCATGTATATGCATGTCCAGCCTTTAGGCAAAGGTGCTTGAAGCGTTTCAAAATTGGACCGCACAGCAGCTTCAAAAATCTAGCTTGTAGCTCACCGAACTCGATGATAGAAGGATCGTTTGGAAAATCGCGGACCGCTAGTCTGTAGTGTATCGCAAGGGGTACAACCTCAGCTACTAACATTGTACACAAGCGACCGCTGCGGGCGGTTAATTTACGATGGTAGTTTCGTACTGGAGTTAGACTTTGGAAAACCGAGATATGCAGGCGTTTCCTGGATTTTTCAGAGGAGGTACTGCGATCCCCCCCGCGCCCTTAAGTGACGAAAAAGTGACGAAGAAAATGCGATGCACCGCGATCGTCCCCCGTCAAAGAACAAACAACAAATGGTCGTAGTGAGCGATGTGTTGATGCTTATCGGCTCTTTTCCTTTCCTCCTAGAGTCTCCTCCTCTCTCTCGCCGCACACACCCCTACCTTCAAGTGCGTTTTCATGGCGAACTGCTGGAAAGCTCGCGAGTTGGCCAAGCGCTTGGTGATGATCTCGCTGGCGAAGTGGTTCACGATTTTGATGAGAAACTGGGCCATGGCTGTACGTCTTCCCCGTGGCTCTCCAGGGCTTGGACTCCTCTCTACTCCCTTGTTCTGTTGGCACTCTGTTGCGTCTCTTGTCGTGAGCGCGGAGCAGTGTGGCTGGTGGTGTGGCAGCCAGCAGCCAGCGTTGTCTGTTGGTTGCCCCGAGTGGGGACTCGGAAAACGATTGGGAGGTGACGCAAAAGGCAAAGCAGGCATGGATGGGTGTGCGGTATTGTCTTTTGCGAGCCCCCCGCTGCCAAACGCAAAAAGATGGCGTGTTCTGCGAAACCAGAGCGACATCACGGTCGTGCCGGGCGCGAACGTCGAGAGGGTTGCGGGCAAAGGGATAGTGTTCGACTGCGTCAGGCGTTGCCCGAATCCCGACGGTTTTCACGCGAAAGGGTTGGGGAAGCAGGTTGGAATTTGGTTGCGTGCGAGAGGGAAGAAAAAATCGATCCATCCGAGTTTTTATTTCACTTCTGCTGCTCCAGCAACAACTGCTGCCCTGCACTCGCGAAGCAAGGGCGTTGCGCATCACGACGCCAGCACGATGTCGTTGTTTAATTTCAGTGGAGGGGGGGACATATGGTCCAGCGCAGGCTTTGCCTTTGTGAGGTGAGGAACGACGTGTGCTTTCGCTTCCGCGAGAACCAAACGTACACACAACGCATAACATTATTGCTGGTCCTCAAAAGAGAAAAATATGGTACAGCAGCAAGAGACCTGTCGGCAAGTGATGATGCCCGGCCGGGCTGCGGATCTCCGAATTTCTACTCCGAAGCCCGCAGATCTACTGCCTTTTCTACTACGTTACACTTCTTGCGGGTGTGCGGTAATCTGTTTTGGTCTCTGGGTTGCCGTGAAAATGGAAATTTCCATCTGACAGTTACATGTTGCGGATCTGGTAGTCTACATTAGGTCTACATATGCTGTGGAACGCGCCTTGTGAGAGCAGACTCAGAGCTTGGATGAGGCTGCTGCAGTGCTATGCGGTCTTAGAGCCTCTTGCGTGGTTACGAAGCGATCGTGTCAGGTCTCCACTCGCGCGTCCACATGGGCAATGAGATGTCTGCCCGAGGTAATGCTTATTTGTTCTCCCTCTGTGCGGGTTGCGTTAGCCTCCTTCTACTGGTTAAGTTGGGATGGACGTCGCAATTATGACTGGTGTAGTACCCGTGGCACAAGAGTCTGCGAATCTTCCCAACGGATCAGAGGTCTTCGAGAGCATCGATTGCTGCTGCGTTGCGCAATTGCGGAACGTGTTCCCGTATGTACCTTTGTGCTGCTGCTGTTGTGTTTTCTTCGCTTTGTTCCTCTTGAGGGACGAGTGCTCCCTAAGGTACGGCGGGTTCTTCGTGCTGAGTGTTGTCCGATACCATGCACACGTGTACACTCGGGAGCACCAACGCTTCCATCGAAATATTTATCCGGCCGAGCTCTCAGTTGTAGTAACTAGTCATGCACGCACACCACGCACACACACACACGGTTAGCGCGGTCGATGCTAATAATAAGACACATGGAGATGCGTGTGTCATGACAGAAACACGTTCGGGTTGTGGTGCACAGAATGTTGGTATGTTGGCATCTACATGGTACGAAACTTTGCGTGTTCATTCCAATCTCAGGCGTTCCACAAGGTCATACAACCGTACGCTATTTTACAATTGTAGACTATGCCGTGGTCGCGCTACTTCATATTCTGTATGACTTCAGAGTAATTCATTTTGTTGCGTGTCACACAGCAGTGTGTCGTTTGTATGCATACTGTACGTGAATGGATCCTGTCTTCTTGCTTCCTACCAGTATTTTATGTTTGCCGTTCATGCCTACTCAATGCTTGCACAGCCGAACGTAGTTCATGATCACGGTAGTTCTCTCCGCCGCCGACATTTGCTCAAGCGTAGCTGATTTTTTTTACAGACGTTTGTGGAATTTGATGCACAACAGCAGTCTTTGCGTTTTTGAAGAATCTCGTAAGCGGTGTACTGCAAGACGGAGGGCCACCATGCCCTCACACCTGTCCTTCACTCTCTCCAAGCGCCGTCCGTGTTTGTCCTTCGTCGTTTCGGGCACGAGCGGGTGCGACTTCGTCTACAGCAGTATCAACTCTCGCTCCTCAACATTCGGGAGAGTGCCGTTTTGGGAGGCAAACTGTTTTCATAGGTCTCTCTCTCGTCCAAGCAACGTAAGATGCGGAGAGATGGCACCCCCCCTAGGTCGATTTTCGAAGCACGATTGCCCCGCAACCAAGATTGGGCCAACACCAATGATGTTGGTTTTGGAAACATGTCGTCCAGGGCTTTTCGTCGACGTATCTGACTCTTTCTGCACCCGCAGCTTTGAAAGTCGGTCCAGGGGGGATGCCATCTCTCCGCCTCTTGCGGAATACCACGGTACGGTATACGGTACGGTACAGACAATCTTGGTTGTGGAGCAATCGAGCTTTGAAAGTCGGTCTAGGGGGGATGCCGTCTCTCCGCCTCTTGCGGAATACCACGGTACGGTATACGGTACGGTACAGACAATCTTGGTTGTGGAGCAATCGAGCTTTGAAAATCGGTCAAGGGGGGATGCCATCTCTGCACTTCTTACGGTATCCCCGCAATTCCGCTGTTCTGGGCGTTCAACCCTTCCTCCCTTTTCCACATACCTCCAGCACACATGAGAGTGTTGGAGGTGGTGGTGATTTGTGCCTTCGCGAGGCTAGCAGTGTGTATGTTGTTTTGTGTCTATCGAGGCCACGTACCCGTCTCTTGTGTTGCCGCGCCCGTTTGTAGCTCAATCGTCTTCAATGTCGACCACCAGCAGCAGCCCCGGTTGCTCGTTGTTTGTTTCCAACGAATGCATGGATGGTCTTTGAAGTCGTTAAGCGATCTATACATGAAAATCGCGTGGTTCGCTTGACTTGGGAGGCACAGCCGCGGCGAGGGCAAGAAGTTGGCGTGTTGTACCGTGGCAGCTTTCCGGAGCCATTACTAACACATAACACATAACACATGTATGCACACTCTTTCGTGCTGCCGCACGACTTTCCGCTGGTCCCACCACGTAACCGAACCCACATGCCCTTCCACCTTCTCCGTTTCCCAACCCCTCGCCTCAAACTGACCCGCGTATCCTACCCAAACAACTGAACCCGCATGCCCTTCCAACTTCTCCGTTCCCCGACCCTTTACCTGAAACGGACCGGCGATGCATGGATGGTGGTGGTACCAGTCCCATCAATGACATCCTCGACAAAGACTCCTTTTCACTGGAGGAGATCCTTGCTCAGGACGAGGTCCTGCAGGAAGTCAAGAGCCTCAACATCAAGCTCGTCGACTTGTGAGACTGATAGGAGGAGGGTCGGAGTTGGGAATTAGCTAGACCGTCGCTCTTTTTTTTGGGGTCTTGTGGTCTCAGGTTTGGTGGACTTGCTGGAGGTAGAAATCCCTACCTTCGCTCTACCAAAGGTTTCAATGCCTTGGTGCGGTAGTAGTACAGCAGTGGGTGGTGGTAGAGGACAAAGCAGGGCACGTATAGCGGCAACATCGGTGGTGTGGTGGTGGTGGTGGTGGAAGTTGTGAGCAGTAGATGGGAGTGTGTCCTGCTTTCCATAGTAGTTCTTGCTCGTATCCGGCGATTGCGAGGTTATGCTCTGACCCATCTTCTTCGCGCGTCTCTTCCCCCGCACCCCCCCACCCTTTTTCTCTCTGTCTCTGTGTCGCTCTTCGTGTGTGTCTCTATCTCTCCTCTCTCCTCCTTGGTCGCCATCAGTCTTAGCAAGGAGTCAAGCGTGCGGGACATGATGTCGTATCTCGCAGACCCCCCGCCAGAGGGCGCGCCGGACAACCGTGTCTTCAAGTGAGTCGCTACAAATTGCCCTCACGATAGGCGACAATGTGGAGGGGAATGATTCAGGGAAGAGGGAAAGGACTGGGCGGAAGCGCTGGGTACTAGAGCACGTCCACCTTTCCCTGCTAAGGGACCGGGGCAACCAACCTGTTTCCCTGGATGGGGGGGGGGTCCATCAAACGCTGCCGTAGAGCGGCTGTTTACAGCAGTTTCGTTTGCTGTGCGTGTCTCTGTGTGTGTCCTCGACAGGTTCCCGTACATGTCGTGCGAGATCATCTGCTGCGAGGTGCCCGAGATCCTAAAGGCAATCGCCTCCGACGGTGCGGGCGGCGGAGACGATTGCCCCCTCCGCAAGCTCTTCTCCATACTGGACGGAGAGGGGGACATCGACTCTCACCGTGCCGGGTACTTGGAAAAGGCGAGCCGCAGACACAGTACGCGACGGGATAAAGCAGCGTCGGAGATGTTGGCTGCCGTACTTGTTTTCTGTTCATCCTGCCCTTTGTGTTTGGTGTCTTTTGTGCTGTCTCGATGCCGCTCTATTGGTCGGTTCATCTGCCGATTTTCCTGTGATGAGGGTGCATTGTCGTGAGGGTGTTGAGATGGCTGCTTCTGGGAGGGCAGATGGATCTCGACAGACGAATTTCGGGTCGCGCTGCTGCGCTTGCACACACTCCCTCGTGACCCCCTCTGACGGGACCCCTGATGACGACCTTTTGAAGAGGCGTTTTTCGTTTTGTTTTCGCTACTGTATGAGACTGACGTTTTTGCGTTGGTCAGCCAGATAGCGCGGTGGATGCTAGCAATAGAGATATGTTGTATCGTCCTGTCACACACTGCGAAGAGATTTGTCCTGTTTGTTGCCATCCTGTTGTCTTCTTTGGTCTGGAAGACGGACAATCTCACTAACCTGCCTCTCTCCACGTACGTATCGTACGTGTCGATGGTGGGACGGGACTTGGATGGTTTTCAACGGCATCAGGTGCTGACGGTACTGCTGAAGCATAGGTGTGGGGCCACGACTGCTTTCGTCAACGAGCGGGGGCTCGATCTGTTCCGCAGGATGGTGCGTCACCTCGGAAACTTCTCGGTCATGCAGGTGGCCAAGCTGCTGCTCCTGCCCAAGTACGCTGCCCTTCAAGGTGAGACACAAGTACCGACAACAACGGCACTCGTTTTTTGCGATCAGATTGGCAGCGTGTATGATGACTATGATAGGACGGTTGCAGAACGATTATTGTTTGTTTTTTACTCGTTTTTTGTCATGAGACTGACATCTGTCCAGCGTGTAGTAGGACGGTTTGGAAGCGATTTCATAACCGAGTTCAGGCCAACTTGGGCTCCCGGGAGTGGACCATCCCGTGGTGACGCGCGTTGAGTCAACGCATTAAGTTGATTGTCCTCTTTGTTTCCGATCGCCCCAGACGACGAACGCAATGTGCCAGTGCTGCCAGTACAGCAGCCAGTGCAATGGGACCAGGTATAAGTATTGCGAGTATCTTTTGCCCCCGCCACTTTCCCGAAACCAACGCTAGAGACACGCCATTGTCTTGCCACGCACCCAATGGGACCAACGGGCCCCCGTTTCCTTTGGCCCTCCCCTGTGGACTGCTGTCTACCGTGTCAACTCGAGAGAAGACATCGACGCGACGGTGCTTATGGGAGACGGGAGGGGGGTCGGCGGCTCGGAAGATGGTGGGGGCCCCCCTGCCTCCATCTGGTGCAACTGGTCCGATGACCCGGAGATCCTCAAGACCCTTCTGGCGGAGTTCAACCGACAACCAATAGGACAAGGAGAAGGAGTTAGCGGGGACGCAGCGGGGGAGGGGGTTGGGAGTGATGGTGGCGGAGAGGCGGAGGGGGGGCAGGAGAAGCGGGAGGAGAGCGGAGAGAGCTCGGATATGCACTTGCATTTGTCAGAGGTGTGGCTTGTGGGGGAGTGTCGTCGTTTGTGTGTGTGTTTATTATTTTTAGCATCGACCGCGCTAGCCGTCTAACCAATGAAAAGACGTCCGTCTCAGTACGTGTGTGTGTGTTTTATTGTTAGCATCGACCGTGCTAGCCGTCTAACCAATGAAAAGACGTCCGTCTCAGTACGGTTGAAAACACAGAACACTAGTGTGTGTGTGAGTGTTTCTTTTTTGTGGTGAGGTGGGGAAGGTGATTTGTCTATTGAGATTTATCGTTTTCGTTTCGTTACTGGTATACGTGTCTTGCGGCTCTGTCTCTGCGTGTGATGTCCTTTCACGAGTAGAACCTCGAGTCACATGTCATCCAGGTTTTTCATTTGTTTCTCATCCTTTTTTACGTCACACATGGCACTTCTTCATGGTTTACCTTCCCTTCCTATCCACCGCGTCGGTCGTCCTCTCGCCTGATTGTGTCCGGGTGCGCAGCTACTCCTAGCGCTGATTGCTCAGAGCTCGCCCGAGTCGTCTTTCCTGCAAAGGATTTTTTCCGAGGTGCGTGGTAATCTTGCAGCCTGCCAAAACAAACTGATCGAACAAAGTTGTTTGGAACAATCAAGCCTGAGTGGTAACTCGGAAATCCTTTGACGACGTTTGTATGGTAGATAAACTTCAAGAGTTTCTTTCCCGCTAAAGTGTTGCGTTTTAGTTCGAGCGTACATGTCACCACAGGGCCATAGGTGGGTTGATAACCCCGGAGCCCCCCCCCCCCCCATGTCCACGCCGATTTGTAAACGCTATTTAGCGATAACAGCACGAACTTTTAGGAATCAGGAAAACACCCTCAAGGGCCTTGGTACACACATGAACGAGCGTCAGCCCTCTCCCCGTAGTGATGCAACGGTTTAACCGTGTTCCAAAGGATTGGTGGGAGGCGTGTTCCGTCAACCACGACACCCCGCCCCGCCCCCCTATGTAGCAAAGCGATGTCGACCACCTTTGTTCTACCACCTTTGTTCCTGGAACGTGCGTGCGGTATCAAAGGGTGAAGCCGTAACCGTTTGACACCAAAAAAATAAAAAAATAAAAATAAAAGACTGTTGCTGTTCGTTGTACCTTGATACGATACACATCTAAATGGTCGTTCTCGCCGTTGGCGTGCATGCTGGCTGGGTCGGTGGCCGGGTGGTGGCAGGCGGTGGGCCCTCTTGTGGCGGCCGCGACGCTGACCAAGGAGCAGGGTCGACAGGCGGAGGGGAGCCAGGCGGCGCTGCAGATACTGGTAGGACTTGTTCTCTAGAAAATTATTGTTAGTTGTTGCTGTTCATGCATTGTTCTTGTACGAGAAATGTGAGAGTGTTTTGGTGTTCTCGAACAAGGCTTGTTGGTGCAGAGTTTATGCACTGGCATCAAATACGCGGTTGCGGCAACACCCCGAGAAGGCTTCACCCATTTTCTCTTGTGCCCTTCTCTCCCCTCCCCCCTATACCGAGGCGTAGAAAGTGGGCTGGAACGCGGGAAGTGAAATCGATAGGATAGATGGGATACATATTTGAGCCACCGTTGGCCATCGGGGATTGATCGGTCCTGAAAAAACGCTCCGTCCTCTCGAGGACGCGTGGTCAATGGTCCAACCCGCTGCAAAACATGACGCCCCCCCACCCACTTCGCCTTCCTTGCCTCCAGGCTGCTCTCGCGGACCGTCTGGTTCAGCCGCTTCCTCCCTCTATGTCGCCCCTAGCGAATGAGAACACGGAGATGCAGATGGACCTCACGGAAGGCTTTGGGGTCGGGGGGATCGGGGACGGGGCGCCGGAAGGTGGACAGGGGGCGGGTATCGCCGCGGGGGGGTTGAGGCCGCAGGAGTTTCTAAACGTGGATGGGGCCGTGCTGGAGCGGGGCTTGAGTGATCTCGTCCCCTCCCTCTGTGCGTATCTGCGGGGCCACACTGAGGTGAGGCGGCGCTAGGGGGGGGGGGGGGTACGGAGGATACTTGCGATAGCACATGATGGTGTTTGTGGGGTGTCACGCCAAACGAAGAAAAAAGGGTTGATTTTGATGGAAAAAGAGCCGATACGAGTTAGGACCACGAGCTGGGATGTCGGGTCCACGGTACTACTGGTGCTTTGGTTGTCCATGGGCCTGTTGATTGTTTCTATAACTACAGCTGTAGTGTTTCATGCGTGGGTGTGTCGTCCAAGGCAGCAACTGATTCAGTTGTGTGTGCGGGTATTTTTTTACCCCGCCAACCGGCTCTTGAAGCACCAGGCAAGCGTCGCCGTAGGTCGTACAATATATATATACGGTACAACTCACCCTGGACCGATGTCCAAAAGCTCGGTTGCTCTACAGCAAGGGCAGTGTCGGTGCCAAAATGGCGGGAGGCGTTGGAACCGTCTCGTGGAGAGCTATCTTTCAGAAAACGTACCATATGATCTTTACATCCTCTTCTTCGCGGAGTACTCGAGCTTTGAAACTCGGTTCGGGGGGGGTGGTATTTTGTGCGACCTTCGGCACCCAGGGGGGAGGGGCGGGGGCGTGATCGCGGGGCTTGCCGTGCCTCTCGTCAATAGATGATAAACTTGTGGTATGCATATGCATACCTGAAGGGCCATGTCGTGAACCGACGATATACATGCATGCGTGCAGTGTGCCACGCTTGGGAGTCTGTTGTTCATCCCGGACGTTGTTTTCGCTTTCAATATGCCTCCCTTTGGGTTCGTTTCCATGTCTTGTTGTGGACGTCCTTGTGTCTGTCGCGCGCTTGTTATTGCGGGGAGCTATGTACCCACCAGGAACCCCCCACCCCCCTACATCCAGACTATTCTTTTTTAAGGGTGTGTGGGTGGTCAAGGCAAAGCATAAGAGGTGATACCGTAGCTCCTACATGCCCGACGGGCACAACAACGCCAATCTCACCATCACGTGTGTGGTTCGGCCGCCTTCCGTGTCGTGTCGGTGCCGTCGATCTCGCCGCCGCCAACTTGGGCAGGACCCCTCCACGATCACCGCCCAGACCAAACAGGAGCAGCCGCGGTTAGGCTTGCTGAGGCTCCAGGTTGTGCGTTTTTTGGAAACGTTAGTGAGGATGGACAGCCCGGTGATAGACCAGGTCTTGGTACGCGAGGTGAGAAAGGCTTGTCTCCCTTCCGCCGTGGCGCTTCCTTCAGGCCCGCACAGCAGTGCCACAGGTTGTTTTAGCCGGCACTAAGTATTCGAGGGTCAGAAGTCTGGTTTGTCGCTGCTGCGTCTCACGCTGTTGCAAGTGCCACACTTCTGTCCTTATTCATGCTGGGTTTTTGTTGTTGCATGTGATGCTGGTAAAAATGTCATTATGTTGATCATCCGTCTCTCCCCTACCCCCTTGTATTCTATCCATCTACGTATTCCCCCGCTACCTCTCGGTCCACGTCTCCAGAACGCGATGGCGACGTGCCTAGAGATGATGTTCACGTACGAAACCTCATCAATGCTGCACGCCAGCGTCGCCACCTCTGTCCAAGCCATCCTCGCTCCTCCCGTCGGGGGGGGGGCACCGGGCATTTCGCGAGTAGGATTGGGGGGCGGGGGAGGGCTGGCCTCACCGAGATCGCCATCTAGCGAAGCAGCGGCGGCGGAAGAGGGGGAGGGGGAGGAGGCGGGGGACAGAAAAGAAGGGTCACCGGCGGGGGGATTAGACAGCGCCGGGGGCGGGGAGGGGGACGGGGGCGGCGGCGGCGGGGGCGACGGCGTGAGCATGTCCGGTCGAGGGCGGCGGGAGTCTTTCCAGCGGCATCTGTTTGAGGAGTGCCGGCTGGTGGAGCGTATCCTCGAGGCCGTCGCTCTTAACGAGGACGCCGAGAAGGCTCAGCAAGAACAAGCACCGATGGAAGAGTCTGAGACCGAGCCTTCGGCGGAAGCAGCGGCGGAAGCGGCGGCGGAGGGTAGTGTCACCGCTGCTGCGCCGGAGGGAGGCGGGGCTGGAGGGGATGGGGGTGATGACGAGGATGGGGAGCTGGCAGATGCTGCTGCCACCGCTACTCCTGAGCAAGGCCAAACAACCGGGGGCGAGGATGCGGGAGTTGAGGCGGTAGCATCAGCAACAGCAGCAGCGGAGACAGCAGCAGGGGCGGAAGCTCCAGAAGCGGTCGCGGGAGCAGCCGGAGAGGCGCCGGCGGAGGAAGGAGACGGAGCAGGAGAAGAGGGGACGGCGGCAGGAGGAGACGATGGGACGGCGATAGCTGCTGATTCGGCCGCCGCTGGCGGTAGCGGCGGCGGGACGGGGGCGGGGCGAAGACGTTCGAGGCCCGGCCGCCGCTTGGGGCACATGGGGCACGTGCTGCTGCTTAGCAGAGCCGTGATGGGGGCCGAGAGCGGGGGCGGCGAGCAGGGAGTCTCGAGTCCACGCCCGTCACTTGCCGCTGAGGGTGGGATGCTAGACGAGGGCGGCGACGGCGGCGACGCCGCCGCTGCCGCCGCTGCCGGGGGAGAGGGCGGGGACAGCGGGGGAGCGGCGGCGGGAGAGGAAGCGGTGGGCACCGCCCCTGGGAAGAAGACCTTTGTGGCGGGGCTGCTGGCCGAGAGGGACTGCGCGGAGCACTGGCAGGAGTTCGTGAGGACCACAGTGGCCGCGGAGGTATCGCGGCAGATGAACCCGCTGGGGGGCTTCGCGGTGCCGTCCAGAGAGGACGAGAATCAGTTGTCTTCCGACTTCCCCGATGAGGTGTGCAATGTTGATGACTCGGCAATGTCTTGATGCGTGGTGTATGGATACAGCAGTAGAGGCCCCTGGTAAGTGCCGGTGCCTGGTATAATGCCGGTGTTTTCGGTGGTCATACACTGAACGACCAAGTCGTTTGAAGAGTGCCGGTGCCCGGTATAGTGCTGGTGTTTTCGGTGGGCATACACATAATGATCAAGTCATTTGAAGAGTGCCGGTTTCCGGTATAGCGCCGGTGAATTTTTCTGGGCATACGCTGAATGACCAAGTCATTTGAAGAGTGCCGGTGTCCGGTATAGCGCCGGTGTCTTCGGCGGGCACACACTGAATTTCGGAGCCATTCTCAATACTTTTATAGAGAGCCGGACGGATAAAGTCCCGCGAATATTCTGGGCACGTACCGGCACGAAACAGGGACCTCTACAATGTGCAGACCATGGTTGATTTCCCGGTTTAGCACGGTAATTCCAGAGAGAGACCTGTGACTGCTATTGTTTATTGTCTTTTTGGATTTGCCTGTGCGAAACCCAGGCGATTGGAGCCTGGTTTGATCATGTCATTTCCTGCAAACTTGTAGCAGCACAGTGGTTGTACTGCTGTTGTGGCAATAGTACTGTCGGAACGTTGTAGTACGTGCAGGTCTTAATTTGGATTGGATTTGGGTTCGGTACGTCTTGCCCTTCTTCGAAGATGAGGCTACAGATTCTCCTTCCGATCCATCTGTGTTCTTGCACTGCGTTATTCTTGCGTGTTTGTTTTGGCGCGAGGGTTTATCATATCTACGTTGTGTGCCCCCCACGCAAGGGATAAAAATGCTGTTGTGCCGTGCACCCACCTCACCCTTTCCCCCCAACACCCCCTTGCTTTGTTCTGTCCGCTTTCCCGCGTCGTGGGGTTTTGACCGGCGGCGGCGTTTTGTAACGATCCCCTTCCAAGCAGGCTGTGGACATGGACGACACGTCGGGGCTGCTGGAAAACATGAACCGCATGCAGACCGCCGCTAGCGGTGCCGGCGAGGACGGCGGCGTAGGCGGCCTGCCCCCCGCCCCCAAGGGCTCTTTCCTAGAGGACGACGATGACGATGATGACGAGGAGTTCGGCACCGGCGGCGGCGGTACCGGCGGCAGCGGCGGCAGCAACGCGGGCGGTGGTGGCGACAACTCCCTCGCGATGATGTTCGGCTCGAACTTCATGAGTGCGGCGGGAGGCGGCTCCGCGTGGGGCTCTCTGGCGGGGGAACCGGGGTCCTCCACGGCTACCGGCGCCGGGAGCATCGGGGGGAGCGCGTTCGGCTCGACGGCGGGAGACTCGTCGGCCTCTGTTGCCGAAGGCTGGGCAAACTTTGCGGATTTCGGGGACGTGCAGCAGTCGGCGAGCGGCGGCGGCGGCGGCGGGTTTGCTAACTTCGACCCCGTTTTTGCAATCGACGCTCCGGCGCCTCCGGGCCCGAGCGGGTTTGCCCCCTCCCCGCCGTCGTGGGCACCGAGGGTCGGCGACAGCGGCGCAATGGGAGACGGAGGAAGCGGAGCTGGGAGCAGCGGTGGAGAAGGGGGGTTCGCGGATTTCCCACAGTACGGAGGTTTCGCCGACTTCTCGGCCATGATGGATGATACCATGCCATCGCCCCCGGAGCCCCCGGCGGCTGCAAGCCCGGCGTTTGACGGGGGGTCTGGCGGCGGCGGCGGCGGCGGCGGCGGCAGCGGCGACGGCGGCGCTGGTGGGGAAGACAGGATGGACGAGGAAGCGGAGGACCGAGAGGATGGGCCAGGGGTTTCCTCGTTGGGGACGGCGGCGGCGGTGGCCGGGGTGGCCGGGGTGGGGTTGTCGATGAGCACGTCCCCACGAGAAAACAAGTGTGACAGCGTGGACGCGATGATGGGCTCGGACGAGGAGGAGGAAGAGGAGGATCAGCAGCAGCAGCAGCAGCAGCAGCAGAAGGAAAGCGATGGCGCCGGGGCGGGGGAGCAACGCCCGTAGTAGGCAGACGCCGCTGTCGTCGTCATCTTTGTTTACAGCAAGGCAGCAGTTGGTCGTTACCAGTTTTTTTGTACAGTGCAGTACGGTACACCGCGAAGCCGGGCCTCTTTTTTCAAGAAGCCTGACGTGACCCTCAAGGCACACCGGCTTGCCTGGTGGGCGATGAAGGCCTACCCGAAGCTTAGCTCCGCGCTCTTGCGTGGGTGTGGGTGTAAAACCGTTGTGTGTCTTTTGTGTTGGACAGTTTCCTTGCGGTCGACAGGGCACTCGACTTGGGAAGGTAAAATCTTGGATGATGTGGTTGGTGCCTTCTCGAGGAGACGAAAACGAGCGATAAATCCACCGAACCTGTTAATGCGCTTGTCCGCGGTGACTTCGCCTAATACCTGTTTTAGAGGCATCGAGCTGTGTTTGTGTGTGTGTGTGTCGCAAGCGTTTCTGAAAAAGGCGCGGGGGTTCTCGCAAAAGTCATCAGGCTATATTTACACGCATCCTCCTACCATGTCCTCGGTGTTTCTGTCACCGGTCAACGTTTCTGCTTGAAGCTTAATTTTTGTCATGCCTGACACTTTGGGGTCCTCGCGGGTTGGAGGTTGGGGTTGTAGGAGTACCCCCCCCCTTGGTTTTCCTTGTCATAGGTGGCGATTGGGCGAGGGTTTCGCGTGGCCAATTTGATCTCTCTTGGCGCTGCTGTACCCGTTCCAAGAAATAGTTCGTGTTTAGCCACTCCCAACAGCGCGCAGTAAAGAGTCTAAGACCGTTTTTAAGTTTCGTACTCGGCGTTTGCAGGGAGGGTGGGACTAGAAAGAGTTGTCTGTGTGCTGTGATGGTGGTGATCTGTTTGCCCAAGTGTGGTGATATTTCTCCATCCGCCTGCAAATAATTTGTGCGAGCAGTTTTTTTTTTTTTCATATGTACGACTTGTACAAGGCAGGGGCCAACGGGTGGTTATGAAAGTATGGCAGGCCTACGTGGCCCTTTACCCACCCACTCCTGTGCCCCTCTTTGAACGGTTTCGTTCAAGTTTTGAGATGAGATGACGGTCAACTTTCGGATGCGATCACGGCTCCCTGTTCACCCCCCTCTCCGTCCTTTCGGAGAACGGTTCATGGTGTGTCTTGAGAGTGAGAGCACTCCTCCTGTTGGAAACAGGTGCACTTGCTGCTTTACTTTGGAAGGCGGTGACGGGAGGGGGGGCGTCTGCTGTCGTTTTTCATTGCCTGGCATATTTTGAATCATGGTATACTATCGTTATACCGATACAACCGCCTCATCTTGTTGTTCTCAAATGTTTTTTACGCCCGGAAAAGCGCAGCGCCTGGGTTGGGGGGTGAAATGAGAGCTAAAAGCACCACTTGCCACCACCGCTGTTTGCTGGAGGAGGATCTGGGGACGCTTTCTTTACGCTGGCCTTTTCTTGTCCCTTGTCTGGTCTGCCTGCAGAAAAGCCATCACGTTCGTGCCCGCACGACGCCGCGTTGCGACTCTCCCCCGCGTGCTTCTTTGTTGCTGCTCTTGTCTGCTGCTGTACCGGCGTGAACGGCAAGCATTTATTCGCACGTCGTCTTATTCGTGAGAGGGAGGCCGTGCCTGCTGCATGTAAATATCAATATTTTCCGTCATCCTCGTGGTATATTTTGGGCGTTGCAAAATCTGGCATTTTTTTTGTTACCGGGGGTGGAAAAGGTAACAGCTTATTTCGCTGTGGCGGGGAGGGGGGGGGGGAGGGGGGTTGTGTGGCGGGGGAAAATTGATTTCTGCACACCATGTGGCACGGGCCTGAGGGAGTGTGGGGCAACCTGCGCAGTGTAGTTGAGAAAATACAGACCTTCGTGGGCGCGTTCTCACTCCTTTGCGGGCCGAGAATTATTTTATTTTGTGCCTACCGTCTTTTGTGTGTGTTCTCTTTTGCAGCAGTACGGTGGGCTCGCCATTCCAGCCCAATGAATGACAGACGAGGTAAAAAGGCCACGAAGAGAGAGATGTGCGTAACAATGTGTCATGTTTTCTTTCTTGCGCACTCCAGGCGCCCCTCCCCGTCGCCGCCTAGCCCACAATCTCTTCGCCAGGAAGAAGCGCCTTCTCTTTTTGCTTGCGGACAGCCTTGCGTTTGTATGTCAAGCTATAGCTACATTACTGACTTTTTCACGACGAAATAGTGAGGAAAACCAGATGTCCCCCATGATAGCTTCCCCATCAAAATCACTCTAGCCAACTTTAACCATGTAGCTTGGAGCATTGACGAAACGCTTCCCGGCGGTGTCCTTCCTACAAAATATAGGTCGCACCTTGATCGAGGACCCGTTTAGGGTTGGATGTTCTCCACCGTTTCCAGCATGCTTTTTCCCGCTCGCTCCGCACGTATGCATACGAGAAACTACTCTCTCTCGGTGTGGACAAAGCACACACACATACACCGAAGAAATGGCCTAAAATAAAAAAAAAATAGGCAAGAAACAATCCTCAAACAAAATAATAAGCTTTCAAGAAAGAGATGAGAAAAAATCTCTTCGCCAATTTCGATTCAACACACAAGGAGAAGCAAGTACCGAATCGGAACGAATTGGCACTGGCACGCTGACCGGTCTGTAGGCTTATCGCGACAATAATCACCCGCTTTCATCCCTCCTTAGTTTCTATCGCCGTATCGAGCGTTCGGCAACACCAAACGCGCAAAACACACAGCACGATTGTCAGAGAGATGATGTCGTCGAGGCCTCGGTTTTTCGGCATTTTCTCCAAACAGGCGCACACGCGCTACTCCCGTGTTCCCAAAACCAAACAATCGACATGAGCCAAAAAAGAGTGGTAAAATTATCAGCGGTACAATGTACACAACCGCGATCCGCTACAAGAGGGATAAACGCGCGTAGGGTACAACGATATCGGATGCCGAAAGCACTACGGCAAACAAAGGCCTCACCCACAGTAATATAGTAGTCTTAACAGTCATACACACATACACACCACGACAAGGTCCATTTCTACGAGTGGAACATGTGTGGACGCGCGTATAGAGAAACACAGGGAGAGATCCATACCGCCAGCACCACACGGCCCAACAAAGCACAACGGACGCATATGTAGCAAGCAGCACCGACGGATGAAAAATACACCAAAAATAACACCAGAAAGACAAGCTCGTGCAAACGCTACGCAAGAGCTGCGTCAGGACCGACCGCATCGGAGCAAGCCCCGTCGTCCGTTTGCTGCTACAGTAGAGGTCCCTGTTTAGTGCCGGTATGTATGTGCCCAGAAAATTCACCGGCAATATACCGGACCAGCACTATTCAACCGGCACTAAACCGGGACCTCTACTGTAGTCTACAGTAGCTGCGAACCCGCACCTTCCCAACCGCCCGACGTACATGAATGTGCATACAACGGATAACAAAACAACCCACATGCACTGTAACTAAATCAATCGGTCGGAGGCGAAGCAGCAGGTGTTGTTTTAGGTCATCTCGTAGCTGTGCCCCCCGCCTCTCATCTGCTCATATCTGAAGCTCCGGAAGTACATGAGCGCCGGCACGCCCCCGAAAATTGCCCCGATCACGAAGCAAGCGAACGCGATACCCACAGCCCCACCCGCCGCCGCCGCCGCCGCATCGCTCCCATCACCCTCCCCCGAGGTGGCGGCGGTACTCCCCCCCGTCACCAAGCCGGACCCGTTGTTGCTCGAGCCCGGGGCTAACGCCGACTCCGCGACGTTCGTCTCGTCGAGAACAGTTGGGGCCGGGGTCTCCGCGGCGGCCCCAGCGCCGTCTTCTTTGCCTTCTTCGTAATTGTCGACGGATGCCTGGGTCATGTTTCTGCAGCAGCAGTGGTCCGTGTCGTCCTGGATGTCCACCGAGAACTGCGTGGCGTCTAGGAAAGCTTCTATCGCGCAAATGTCTGCGATTTGTTCATTAGCCCCCATCATTTTTTTTTTTTACGCGTTCACAGTGCCGAAGAGCGGGGGGAGGCGGAACAGACGCGCGGGGGGGGTCAAACTCATGTGTCGGAGAACATACAGCACCGGAGGATGGGTGGCAAATAACTTGACTGACGAAGCCCCCGCACGCGCACAGCCGCAGACGCCCTTCCCATCTCTCCCCGAGTGTCACTTGGTGTTTTACTTCTTCGGCCTTCGGGGAGGGGAGCAAAGGATTTTGTACCCAACTCCGGGTTCGCCTTCGCGCAAGATGATGTCAGGCTTGTTAAATACGCGGAGGACCCGACACTCTACCCCCCCCCCCCCCCCCCGGGAAATGCGGGTTTAAGGAATCCCCCCGGGCCCCCCCCCCCCGCCCCCGGAACCGCCCCTTTTACC